TTAATCTAAAATTTCATTTAATTATTATAATATGTATTATTTTAGAATGTAATATGTATGTATATATATATATTCTGATCTAAAATTTAATATTTGACAAATTTTATACAAACAAAATTTTCTATATATTCAACTGAGATAATGAGCTCTTGTGAGATTATTGCTAATTATCGTCAGCTTCCTAGGATTTCATCAGAAGCCGATTGTTTTTTATTCATAAAGCTGGGATATTTAGCATTAGTCTGCATCCACCTGAGGGTTTGTTACAGGCATATAGCTACATCAGAGAAAAAAACAACTTCGGCAGCCTGGTGCAGAGATTATTATTTGTTCGGTATGTATCTGTTTGGTAAGTATACGCAAGTTGTATAACAAATTCCCATAATTATATTTTCAAAATTTTCAACATTATGAGACACACACATAGAAAGAGAGGTTTTTTCAGATTATAAACCGAATAAATAATAGAATATATCTATCTTATTGATGAGTTTATTTATTTGAATTGTATCATCTCTAATATATATGGTTCTTTTAGAAATTATATGTTGACTCTAAAATATAAAACATATATAACTCAAAGATTATATTTTAATATTGTATCCGCGCAATGCAACTCTACATAGATACATTATTTCTTCTAATTCAACAAATTGTTTAGGACCAATTAGTATCGGCACAGCCTCTGTCGGGTGGGATGGGTATGGCGTTACTGCAGAAGATGGGTTGGCGTCCTGGTGAGGGCCTTGGCAAGAATAAAGAAGGTGCCTTGGAACCGTTGCAACTAGAGGTAAAATTAGACAAGAAAGGACTCATTTCTGAACAGGATATCGTGCAAAAAGTTGGCAAACCTGCAAAGCCTATGGTGCCAATGATCAAAACATTGGAAGGTATATCTTAATTTAAATTATTTTATGAATAGAGATACGCGCGCGCGTGTGTGTATGTATATATTTCTAGTTAAAGTAAGTCCAACTAAATTTGATTATCCACTATTTATTTTGTCCTAGGCAAACATCCAGTGTCACTTTTAGGAGAATATTGCACAAAGAAGAAACTCGGAGCACCAGTTTACGAGTTATGCTTTGAATCTGGACCAGATCACAGGAAGAATTTTCTCTTCAAAGTGAGCAATGTTGCTCTAAATAATTTAATATTTATACTTAGAGATATATATATTTACAAATATATCTTTTTATTATAGGTAAAAGTAAATGGCATTGAATATAAGCCGAGTGTTGCGAGTTCGAACAAAAAACAGGCAAAGGCAGAAGCAGCGCAAATATGTCTACAGAACTTAGGCTTACTGCCTTCTTAATCGCGTGCACCGATATAATCGCACAAGGAGCTTATTAATTATTGCTGTCTCACATAACTCTTCAATTTATTACCGAAAAATAAAATGTGGTGCCATATAAGTGACTAATTTGTGAAGATGTGTTAATGATGTCGCGAAAAGTTAAGTGACTGATATATTGCCAAATTCTTATAGTCCATTAAAATTAACTCAAACTGGTGCAATAGAATATATAGCAAGATGTACACACAATTATGTATGCAAATAGTTATGTAACTTTCTCAAATTTATTTCCAGTAGCAAAAAGATGTGAATTATGTTATTAGAATATTCATTGATTGCCTGAAGAATTAAATGTTGAGATATATTTTTATCGGCCTTCTTAGAATCCTAATTAAGTTTCTTTAACATATTTTTACATGTTTTATTTATTATAAATACTATACAATAGAAAAAAGTTTGAATGCAAAAGAACTAGTAGTATCATTTCAAATAAAAGTTTAATTTACATTAATTTGTTGTGTGTCCATTTCCAATTTTTTCTTTTTTTTTTTTCAGACATTTTTTGAGGTTTCTATATGCAAAAATTAGAATATGTTTATTATTATCTTTCCTAGATATGCATCTCTAAAAAATGTAAAAAATTTTTTTTAAAGAAATGTAATAATATAAACATATATGAAATAAATATATGAAATATGCTTACATAATAAATTCATTTTTCAATACTGCAGCCAAAGAATTAATTTGAAAGTAGACATCTCAGTCTTTTTTGTGTATGTACATACGTACACACGACGTCATAAATGCCTAGCCATCTGAATTGCAGGAGTATCGAGGTATATTTGAAACGCGTGTCCCTTTTTAAATATTCGTGCATTATGACTAATGGTTACTCGAAAAACGGTAATATAAATTTAAAATTGAATTTTTAAATTAAACTAAATTAAACTAAACGTATAGTTTATAAGTAGAACTTAATTTAAAAATATGAGGTTACATATTCTTAATAATATGGGCAAAATTAAATTAGCCAGTAATTAACTATTTGTTTTGATAAATATGTATGATTAATTAGTAGTTTGAGAAAGTAGGAAAGAATTGTAGAATATTGTGTCTAATCGCGATTTTATTTTCGGAAGAAAAATAATACTATGTTTATTTATAAATTATTATGTTTAAATTAAGTTTAGTTTAAATTTAATTCAATTTTCAATGTTTTACAAACTAAATTTAATTCAATTTTTAATTTTAATTACCATTTTTCGAATAACCATTAGTCATAATGCACAAATATTTAGAAAGGAACGCGCGTTTTGAGCATGCCTCGATACTCCTGCAAATTCAGATGGCTGTAACATTTATGACGCCGTGTGTATGTATGGACATATAGACAAGCATACCGTAGGGTTATGTTTACCTTTTTATGATTGTCTTCCATACTATCATACACTAACATATACGTTACACAAGGAACAATCAACTTTGACTGTTTTCGTTGTCTAACCCATGAATATACAAGAACTGTAGCAATTTAACATGGACATCACTCTATGTGAAAGAGGTTTGGTACATAACATGAAAAAGGCCGTGATGATCAAGGATGATTGCACTCTCAGATTTTCTCTCTGCAACTGCAGAGTGCAGCATCTGGTAATCAGAATGTACAGTGTTCTTCTATTATCCTCGAGATGCAAGTTTTTTTCAGCGCGCCGCTATGTTGACAATCTCTGATACTACCTCACTAACAATCTTTATTTGAAATACCTCGTTGTTATTATTAGCTTGGACATTCGGCAAAGTATGTTTTAAAAAAAAACTGGTATTTTGAAGTTAATGAAAGATTGTAATAATTTATTATGTGTATCTACATACGAAAGCATTATACAATTGTGTATAGTTCATTCATTGAAATCCTTTTATTTATATGCTTTAACGACACGCTTTTTACTTCAAACACACACGCTATACTATATTTTTTAATTATAAAATTAATTTATCTCTTTATTTATGTCCTCTTAATTTACATCTTTCCTTTCTATTTGTTTTATTCATCTTTTCTATCTTTTTAATCTAATTTTCAAATTTTATATGATCTTTTCTTGTTGGAAAAAACAGGCCAAATACAGAATACAAATCTCACAACGTGCTATGCTGATCAGTTGTCTCTATTCTTGCTGCGATGGAAGATGCAGACACAACTGTTTTCTACAACGACGAGGACGATTGTCTGGACTACGAGTGTTTGCACAACAATGTCGAATACGATTATGATTACACGGACTCAGAGAAGGAAACTCTTCACGATTTATATCAGCATTGTCTCAGTCCTAGTCTATTTGATACTGGACACTATATACTGCCTTTATTGGGCAGTACAATTTTATTTAGACTACTTGTTCACACTGGTAAGATTCTTTTCATTATTTATATTCAAAATATTAAATATTAATATGAGTTGTATAGTTATATTGTAATTATTGTTTCTCTTTTTTTATCAGATTGTTCCTGTAACAAATTGTAAATAACCTTTATTGTTTTACATTTCAGAATACATATCGCATCAAGTATTTCATATATTATCGGTTATTATAGGCTTGTATATAATTCAACATTATGTGCATGAATCCTTAATAGTATTGATAGTATTTGTTCTATTTTCTTATGGTATTTTACATGTACCAAAAAGATGGCACAAAGGTGCAGGAATTTTTTTACCATCCCTTTTGATAATTGCATATTGGTATGTTTCAGTGTACAGTATCTTAGACTAATTTGTGTTTATACTCAATAGTCAATAAGGAATATTTCAATGTATTTTCAGTGAACTCTCAATGCAACCAGTGATATGGCATAGGATACGCAGTGTCATCATGACTATGGTGATGAAAGCGATTAGCGTTGCCATTGACACAAATGACTCAAACAACTTGCCAGATGTTTACAGTTACATGGGTTACATGTTCTGTGGTGTAACTTGTTTATTTGGACCATGGGTGTCATTTAAAGATTATTTGTCGCTGCGTTACTCTAACAGTCAGGTATTTAAAAAATAACCATATCATTTTTATCATTAAAATATGTCTACTAATAATGAACATGTTTTTAAAAATAGTTTCTAAGATAATATTTAAAATAGGCGCAATGATATTTAATAATAAAATTTTCTATTACACAGACAAGATGGTGGATAATATGTAGTATAGGATTTGCTTTCCTTTCCTTTGTCTTCCTGAGTATTTCAAATTGTTGGACGCAATGGATATTTGTAGATAACTCTTGGAAGTTAGTACAATTCAAAAGTTTCTGATAAATATTTGATGCTTTCATGTAAAGAAATGTTTTTTTCTTATTTCAGATGGTTAATAGCATACAGAGATGCATTATCCTTCAGAACATCCCATTACTTCATTTCATACATAGCTTCGGCACTGCTGGTTTTGGGAGGATTTCCCCTTTCATCATCGACGATAGTTAAGCCCTTGTATATCGAGTTTCCACGCTCGCTTGTTCAAGTCGTCGTTTTTTGGAATATTCCAATGCATCAATGGCTAAAAACGTGTATGTAAAATCTGAATTCAAAATAATTCTTACAATAGATATAAAGAATTTTGTAACAAGGTATTGAAGACTAAAAATGAAATTTAAATTGATTGCTGTATTCTTTTCCACAGACATATTCCGTCCTAGTATTAAAAACTTGGGAAAGTTTGGAGCAGTGATCATCACGTATCTAATAAGTTCTCTTTTACACGGATTGAACTTTCAATTAGCAGCCGTGTTACTTAGTCTAGGATTTTACACGTATGTGGAATTTCAACTTAGGGCCACGCTCGCCGACACCTTCGATGCTTGTGTCACGTCCAAACAGTGCACCAAGAAAAAATGCATACATAAATACAACTCGCATAACTGTATGGTGTTTATAACAAACTTGATGTTTTCTTTCGGGGCGATATTTCATTTAGCTTATTTAGGTCTCATGTTTGATACGTCGGATCTCCAAGAAACAGGCTACAGCTATAATCACACAATCAACAAGTGGGCCGAACTCGGATTTGCTAGTCACTGGGTAGCATTAGCTACGTATTGCATTTATCTTTTAACTAAGTAGCGAATTATTTATCTTTAAAAAATTTTCGAGAGAGAGAGAGAGAGAGAGAGAGAGAGAGAGAGAGAGAGAGAGAGACTATTCAATAACTTAAAAATAAACTGATTTATATATAAAGCAGATGATTTTACAGCATTTTACAAATAGCTTTTCTATTATAGCAGTTGAAGTGTAAATAACAGGGTATAACACTAATATTCAAAAAAGATAAATAAAATACATATTCTTTATTGAATATATAACACAATATAAAGTTCACTGTGTGATCTAGATTTACTTTATAATTTTTTTTTATAATTATATATGTAGCACATTTAGTAATTTGTAATTATAAAAAAAGTTTACAAAGAGTATTTAAATATACAATATTAAATAATACTCTCAATATCTCGCATCCTAATCTAATGTTACATTAAATGTCACTTTTGTAATGAATAGAAACATTTTTGCACTCTAAGATATTTTTTCCCCTTATTAATTCACTGTGATTCGTAATGTTGCATTTGTAATATTACTATGCAACATAATATCATAAATTAATTAAATTATTGTATAATTTTTATGTACACTTGCAGATTTATGGATAAATTCTAAGCAGAAAGACATAAGACTCGTCGAAAAACTTCTAAGAATTTATAACTGATATTATAATTTTATCCATATGTACCTTATGCTTCTGCTTAAAATTGATCAAATTATTTTTATGACAATGATTGTATTCTTAAAAACATAATGGTCTCGTTGCATATAATATTACAATTAAACATTACGCAATGAAGAAATGCTATACATAAATCACAATTCTTAACAGATATCCGAATTCCGTACCTTGCTATCATTTTATAATTTACACAATGCATTTATTCGAAAATAAATAATTGCTTTCTACAAATTTTTGGGAACCTAATGGCAAATAGACTTTATTTTCCTAAACATCACATTTGAATAACATGTGTTCTTAAACACTAAAAATTAGCAAAAAAGCTATGA